CAACTGGAGTTGGGTTTGGTAACAATTCTAGTTTTGTATTAGCATACTTTCGATATTAATGCTTAATTTTTAGAAAAATAATAAATAATTTTCTTATAGCTTTAGCCAGCTTGATGGCACATAACCTATAAATGACGCGTTGAGACTGGAAACCTGAAATGATGGTAACTGATAGTGGCGCTAATGCCCTAAATTTTGGTCACACTCTCACCTAAGTGAGAACCTCACCAAAAGGGGGGAATTGTTAAACAAAAATTATTTCGGACTGAGCTCCCACACTAGTCGCCAATAGAACAGACCAAACCAAAACACGAGTCACTCATGTTAAGTGCCACATAATCAACTAAAACTTTAAGAAGCAGATAGATCTCAGAACAGACAAATTTTTTTTCTCCTGAAAACAGGAGATTCTAGCATAAGAGTTCCCTCTGCTCTAACCCTTATGAAAAAGTGACTTGATGCCAATCAGATTTTTCTATTCTGTTTCTCTGATCCCACCTTATAAAAACCATTATTCTGCTATTTCCTAGTGAGATTTGAGCCCAAATAAATCTATTTACAATGATGACACAGAGTGATGTGAGTACCTAAAATTTTGGTCAATCTCTCAAAATATAGAGGTTGACCAAAAGGGGGGAATTGTTGATTAAGTATGGCCTAAAGGTTTCTGCAGACACAGAAAACTGTACCCGAACTTGATATATAAACAGACTAACCTACTCTTGTAACCTAACGTGATGTGCAAGCATACTGTAACCTACTCTTGTAACAAGTAGCAGAGTCTCAGCCAATTGCAGTCAGCCAAGTGTTCTGCACCTCACTTCCGTTTTCTGTACATCATTTCCCTTTTTCCACCTATAAATTTTAACTGACCACACAGCTGTAGCAGAGTTTTCTGGAAAGCGACACCTGTGCATAGGAACGTGTTCATTTCTGACTTAATACAAGCAGCACTACCAACACTGTCACAAGCTCCTTATCTTCATCGTAAAGTTTTATACGCATAGCAGGTTGTTTATACCATAAAGTCTGGTGAATCTACTCATATTCTGAATACACACAGTAACCTCCAAATTTACGATGAAGTTTTTAAGTGGGATCACTTGCACCAACATTAACTTTTTAATTTATGCTTCCAAAGACACACACGTACTAGAATACACAGAGGATTTGAAACAAAGTGTTGGCCAAGCTGTGAAAAATCCCTCAAAGTAGTTAATACACTTCTTGAGTATTACTGGAAACTTGATAAACGAAGGGGAGAATTGACCAGGCATCTCAAGAAATTCGTACTTGTGGACTTCCAAGAATAAACGATTACTATTCACAGTCAGCTAGCAGAAGGCATTAGATCATTAATGCTATTTGCTTAACATATCATTGATTAATAGTTCTTTCCTTTACAGAAGAAGAAAATTTCACCATGTTGACCTAAAAAGAAACTGAGGCCAAATACATACAGCAAGGATTTATTGAGCCAATATGACAATCGCAACCAGGGAGACACACAGATCAGGTAGCCCTGAAAAATGTGTTCCAGAGAGGGCCATCAGAGCTTATTATTTTATAATCACAAGAGGGGGGAAGTGTCAAAAGAGAGTGAAAGAAAGACAGTCCTGCCTAATTATTCCATCAGGCTTTCTATTAATTGAACATGATATATAGATTTGAGATCAGAGGATCTGTTTGTATTTTTTCCAGCCCTCTCTACTCCCTTTGAGAACAAAAGTTTTCCTCCCCTTCAGATGGTGATAATTGTCTAGTTTTGAGTAAGAAAATATCTTAGCTGGATATTGTCTTAGTCATTTTGGGCTGCTTATCACCATATACTGGGTGGTTTGTAAACAACAGAAATTTATTTCTCATAGTTATGGAGGCTGGCACTGTGAGATCAGGGTTCCAGCAAGGTCAGGTTCCAGTGAGGGCCCTTTTCTGGGTTGCAGACTGCTGACTTCTTGTTCTATCCTTATGTGGCAGAAAGGACTAGAGAGCTCTCCGGGATCTCTTCGATAAGGGCACTAATCCCATTCATGAGGGTGGAGACTCCCAAAGGCCCCACCTCCTAATATCATTACCTGGGGGGTTAAGATTTCAACATGTGAATTTGGAGGGGACAAACATTCAGCCCATAACATACACAATTATTCCATAGGTTGTGCTCAAAACATTTTGGGAACTCCTTTGGAAATGCCTTCAGAAACTGTACTACATTGTTTTATCCTTGACACAGTTTCATTCTTTGATAATGGGTTTAGTTTGGAAAAACAATCAAACATTCAGAGTCATGTAAGATATTTAGGATGTTTGATTAAAATCAATAAAGGTACTTGTTTTTAGGATCTGATATTGTTAAGCAAAAAAAAAGGATGAGATGAGGTCAGGACATAACTACTATCATGGCAAGAACACAGAACTGAGAACAGATCCAGGGATTCTAGTCTCAGCTAAGCCACTAACAAAGTATGCGATTTTGGTCAAGTCACTCTCACCTCTGTAGACCTAAATTTCCTTCCAGTCACTGAATTCCCCTGTTCAATTATCTACTTGTCATTTGGAAGTCAGAGAACTTGACCCCAAGGGCATAAAATTCAGGAAAGGTAAGTTTTTGCTAATGAGGGGATGGAAACTTTACCCCGAAATGTTAAGAGGACTCTGCGACAGAATAGAAAGTTGAACAAGTCAGGACACAGCAACTGAAGACTACTCTACAGTTGTATTCTACAAACTCTCTGGCTAGCAAGACTGCCAGACAATTTGAACACTATATTAGTCTGTTTCTGTTGCTTATTACAAAATACACAAATCTGGGTAATTTGTAAGAAAATGAAATTGATTGCTTACAATCTCAGTGGCTGGGAAGTCCACAGCGCAGGGAACACATCTGGTGAGTGTCTGGTAGTGGTGATAGTGACCCAGGGGTCTTACATGGCAGATAATATCAGGGCAGAGAGAGAAAACCTCTCATGTGCTCTTCTTTTAACCCCTGACCACCATTATTAATCCATTCATTGTGGCATGGTCCTACAATCCTATCACCTCTTCAAGGCCCCACCTTTCAATTGCCATAATAGGTTTTACTACCCTCAACATTTACAGTGATGATTAAGTTTGCGGGGGAGGGATTCAATCCAAGGCAAACAGCAATACCAGGTGCTACTGACAAAAAATGGTAGTCCATCTTCACAAGGCTTGATATATAAAGTTTATTCACAATACTCAGTTTTACAGCCTCTATTTGACAAAAGACTGCCACATTCAACTCATCTCATAGTAATAAAACTTAATTTTAAAAAATTTTTTATTGTGATAAGGTATACATAACATAGTTTGCCAATTTAACTATTTCTGTGTGTACAATTGAGTAGCATTAATTACATTCTCAATATTGTGCAACCTTCACCACCTACTTTTTTTAGAGGACGGTTATATTCACTCATCTTTCAATGTCGCAAGCCCTGTCCTAGGAGCTATGGATTCCACGTTGAACACGTGGCCTTCAGAGACCAGGCAGTTGCTGTTTCTTTCCCCTGGGTGCTTATGTACACGAGGAAGGCCGCCTGGGTGTAAAGAAAGGTGTGGTGGATGCACTGCGGGGGCGAAACAGGTTCCCACTTAGGGGCCGTCTCCTAATTCCCCATTCCAGAGCAGGAGTCAGGTAGGGTCTCGTGTCCCTGAAGGGGCGGAACCCGGACGTGGGGTGTGGCCTAGTTGGGCCTGGGCGGGGCCTGGGCGGGGCCTGGGC